GTGACCCTATATGACTATGTAAGAAATACCATTTTTTAAATTTGAGTTGTAATAAGTGATTGTTTTAGTTTTAGTTCATGGTGTTTGGATTAGTTGGGAGACTAGAAAGTCTGTTTGCTGCTGGCTGCATTTGGCCTTGACTTGAGGATTTCCCCTTCCTCAGGGTTGCTGTGTAGTGAAACTCTAGTATAGTTGGTGACTGCAAATCAAAGTGGGCCTCTGCTGTTAGGGTTTTCTTGTTGAGATGCTTACTTTACCACGGTGGAGTACGAATGGTATTTAAAAAAGATAACTCATTTTACTTCTGTGTTTCCATTTGTTGTGAGGTTAAAACATTTGATTTGAGTTACTTTTCAGTAGTTACTGTTCTATCTCCGAAAACCTCGTGGCGTAGTGATTAAGAGCTACAGCTGCAAACCAAAAAGTGGGCAGTTCAGATCTACCAGGCGCTCCTTGGAAACTCTGTGGGGGCAGTTCTACTCTGTTCAGTAGGGTTGCTATGAGTCAGAATCGACTTGTCGGCAATGGGTTTGGTTTTTTTGTTTTGACATTAATGGACCTCTTAAGGGATTGGGTCCAGAATTTCTGAGAGTATAGCAGGATCTTAAAAAGTTTAAAGAAGCATCTGATACAGGATGCCTATAGTACTTGCAGAGGAGCCCCGGTGGTGCAGTGGTTAAGCACTTGGCTGCTACCAAAATGATTCAAACCCACCAGCCACTCCACAGGAGAAAGACGTGGCAGTCTGCTCCCGTAAAGCTTACAGCTTTGGAAACCCTTTGAGGCAGTTCTACTCAGTCCTGTGGGGTTGCTATGAGTTGGAATCGACTCGATGGCAGTGGGTGTGAATGTTTTTTTTTTTGGGTATAATAGTTGACAGATAAGTCCTATTACAGAAATGTACCTGTTTCAAGTCATTTTGTATTTTAGGATGTTGTGTTAAGGTATAAAAAATTGCCTAAAGATAATTTAAAATGATCAGTAATAATTTTTCTTTTACTTACATAGGTGGCAGCATGTTTGGTTATGTTAAAGGATATTTCTAAAGTATAATAGTATTAGTTGTTTTAAAACTCAAGAATAATACATATTCTAAAAATTTGGAAAATGCAGATAAATTGAAAGGAGGGAATGTCACCCTTTGTCTTATCAGCCATTGAAAGCCACTGTTAACATTTTTTTAGCAGATTATAGCTGTGATATGCTATGACTTTTTTTAAAGCTTAAACTCTTTATGAAAATAAAAAGCAACTGCATTTAACATGCTCTGCATTTACTAACTACTCTTCTGTTGGACAATTAAGTTTATTTTTCAGTTTTCATTGTAAATAATGCTATGAGCTCTTAGTGCAATATGTTATTTCCATGTTTGGGATGAATTGAGTTCCCCATGAAGTAAAATTGCTGGGTCAAAGGGTTGAAATTTTTATTTATCTTTTTAAAATTGTTTTTATTCTTATGAGTGAAGGTTTTTAAAGCTCTTGATACATAATGCCAAACTGCTTTCTAAAAGAGCAAAAATCAGTTAACAGCATGTGATAGAAAGTTTTCTATAGAACTTGTCTAAATCACAGTGGCAACTTTTAACTACATCATTGTCATGGATTGAATTATGTCCCCCAAAAATGTGTTCATCAATTTGGCTAGGCCACAATTCCCAGTATTCTGTGGTTGTCCTCCATTTGGTGATTGTAATTTTTATTAAAGAGGGTTAAGGTGGGATTGTAGTAACACCATGTTTATCCAGGTCACATCCCTGATCCAGTGTAAAGGGAGTTTCCCTGGGATGTGGCCTGCACCACCTTTTATCTCTCAAGAGATGAAAGGGGGAAGCGAGTAGAGAGTTGGGAACCTCATACCACCAAGAAAGCAGTGTCGGGAGCAGAGTGCATCCTTTGGACCTGAGGTTCCTACACAGAGAAGCTCCTAGACCAAGGGAAGATTGATGGCATGGACCTTCCTCCAGAGCTGACAGAGAAAGCCTTCCCCTGGAGCTGATGCCCTGAATTTGGACTGGTAGCCTACTATACTGTAAGAGAATAAACTTCTCTTTGTTAAAGGCATCCACTTGGTGATATTTCTTTTATAGCAGCACTAGATGACTTAGACAGTCATCATAAGTATGACCATTATTTTCTTTTTTATGAATGTGTTTCTTAGTGTCACCATGCCTGTTATAAATATAACTTGATTTTCAGGGTAACTTATGATTTTAATATTTGAAATTATGTGAATTAAAATTCAGTAAGTATCTGAATTTTTCAAAGTCATATTTAGGCTACAAAATATCAGTTGATAAATAAGCAAGAGGATAGTTTTAGTACAAGGAAATGTAGCTCAAAAGCCACTGGTCTTCCTCTTATACTTTTAAACCAGCTTTTGTAATAGTAGTTTCTCTTAAAGACGTTGTTTCTATAAGTTGTGGAAGTCTTTGTCTTAATGTAGTTTACAGCATAATAATTCCTGTGAAAATAATTTGTTTAGTAATGATATCACATGACACTGGTTTAAGATCCTTGTGAACAAGTTTTAAGGATTTAGTTGCCATATGAACCTAAAGAAAGTGTAACTAGATGCCATATCTTAAAAGCCAGTGGTAAAAGAAAGTTGCAGAAGGATATACAAACACTAAGATTCAATGTAAATAAAACTGTAGAATGTGCAATGATTAGAGATTCATGTATGGGTGGTAAATGTATAAGGCTGGACATAGAAATGTTAAAATACCGAGTTCCTTCTAGTGGTGACCTGTTAGGGGAGAGTAGTAGGAGTGGTGCCCAGTGGTACCCAGTAAATTATACAAATGATTATATTTGGAATGTTTACATTTCTAACCTGGGAGGTGGGTAAGAGTGTTCATGCCCTCTACCATTTTGTAGATCTGGTATATAGAAAACTTAAACCACTGTCAGAATTGATGTGAAGCAGTATTTCTGGGCCATGGTGTGTAATAAGTTTAAAAGTTACTTAGAGTGTTTGGATTTCATTTGAATTGGGTGAGGTCTTTGTCGTCGCTGGAGAAATTCACAAAAGATTATGATTTAACTTCTTTTTCCTGTTCTTTTAAATACTGTTATAATGGGCTGGTAAGACCTGTTTACAGAGTTGCTTATAAAGGGTGGTGCTTACTGTGGAACATGGGGACTAAATTGCAAAAGTTGTAAAATTTGGGTGTTAACTTACTACTAACAGTAAGGTCTCTTCTTAAAGTTACCTGTAACTCTTAAGAAAATGTCCATGCTCTCAGTTTGGCGTAGCAGGTTTAGGCCTCCGCACTGGGTTTCCATGTGATACTGATGCACACACCTTCTCCTTCCTCTCTGTACTTCCCTTTTCAGCTCTTTTAACAAGCCTTTACTGACCACGTTTTCTAAATGTTCCCTTTCTTAGACCTCATTTTCCTTGATGTAGCATTAGATACAGCTAAATGCGCAATTCGTATTCAAAATAAACAGAAATCAAACCCGTTACTGGAGTGGATTCTGACTCATGGTGACCCTGTAGAACAGAGTAGAATTGCCCCATAGCGTTTCCAAGGAGTGGCTGGTGGATTCAAGCTGCTGACCTTTTGGTTAGCAGCCTTAGCTCGCTGTAGTTCGTAACCACTGCACCACCTGGGCTCCTCTGTTCAAAACAGCTCTCTTTAAAGGCCACATTCTTGCCAGTTCTCTTTTGACTCTGAGCTTTCCTTAAACTTTCATCTTCCTTTGCCGTTAATTCATCATTAGTCAAGGTTCCTGTGAAGAACAAATGTACTTAATAGTTTTAGCTTTTATTTTGTAGATCATTTCCAGATTCCTACCTCCTTGCTCGCCCCAGACTTGTGTCTTCTACTTTGCTCTTTGGATTACCTTTCCAATCAGTGCCAGAAGTGCTTAAGCGCTTGAGGTGCTCCTTCTCGTGTGTCGCTTTTATTTACAGACTTCGGTTGTCTCATGAACTCCCATTTCTGCTTGACTTTCAGTGCTTTCTGTACGTTAGCCTCTTGTATTTGCTCCATCGTTTCCTGAATTATTCAGATGTGTCAGCTCCGTGCTTTAGACGCCCTTGTGCTCGTTGCCAGTGATTTTGTGTCATGGTTTGCTTTTCCCTTTCCCCTGTATGTATTTATGTTTTACCCAGTCATCAGGATTTCTCATTTCTGTTTCTCACAAATCTCCTCACCTAGGGAAATAAACAGAAATAGTGGTTTCTATAATTGATGTTTTCAGCAAGTACTTGTTGATTGATAACAGCAACAAAGAAAACCTGTCAGCACTAATACTGTTTGTATTTTCAGGAGGATTTTGACATTTCCAGTAGCAATATGATGCTTAGTTTTGTGTCAGTAATTTTCTATTAAAATAATATAAGCACATATTATGTCTACCAGTTAATATTTGTTCAGATTTGTTTTTGATTTGTTCAGATTTGTTTTGAGATACCAGACTTACAGAAAAGTAAAAGAAACCCCCAAAATCCTTGACCCTGATTCACCAATTGTTTACACTTTGTCCCATTTGTTATACCATTCTTTATATGTTTATCTGTATGCATGTCAGGCTAATCCACCTTCATGTCTTATTTCTGAGTTACTTTAGCGAAGGCAGTGCAAACTCAGTGAGATGAGATGATCCTAAGTGCACACCATCTTAACATTTCCCACAGTAGCAGCAGGAACAGTCGTTAACGTGATGTTAGATGAAAGATTATATTAAAACGTCTCTCTTTCTATGAGTTTGAAGTGTACATTAATGATCCCAAGTTTTATATTTGTATATGGACTGTCTGAACAGTCTGGTTGTGTATTCTATAATGCATTCTAGCCTTACTGTAATTAATAAGTAAATCTGTTTGGGGAGATGGGCTTTGTATGTGGCTACTTAATTTTAACTTGTTGGAAAGGTTTTTATTCCTACTGGAATAGTGTAAGACATTAACCCATTTTTCCTTTTCTCAGCTCTCCCAAGAAAAAATAAAATTAAAAATATTTTACAATATACACGTATGCTTGTTTGCAGAAGATCCATTTGAGGACTTTTTTGGAAATCACAGAGGTCCCCGTGGAAGCCGGAGCAGAGGCACAGGATCCTTTTTCTCTGCCTTCAGTGGGTTTCCATCTTTTGGAGGTGGATTTTCTTCTTTTGATACAGGTACTATATCGCTAGTTTAAGAATCTTCTGTATCTGAAAAATAATTAGTTCTTTGAAACTATTGATTTAGTTTTGAAGTATGTTCCTTCTGGTAGATTTGTATATTTGTCGGTATGTGTGTATTGCAGATATGTGCTTAATAAACTACATTTCTTCCTAATCTTCCAAAGAAGGTTGCACTTGAAAACCCACTTCTAATATTACTACTAAAGGGCAGAATTTAATGAATTTTTTTGTTGAAAGGGGTAATGTGCTTTTTTGGTAAGTATTTAAGTGCCATAAAACCCACCTAGATGATCTCAGTAAACCCGCCTTTAAACACACAGTGTTTTGGGAAGGCAGCGTAGTAAGAGAACACGTCGTGAAGGAGTCAGCTTGGGCTTTAATACTGGCTGCACGGTTTCAGTGTGTGACCAGGCTAACTGCTGAGTCCTGATTTTCCTCACTAGTGAAGTGCAGTTAGTTATGATTGCCCTGCCACACACATGATTGTTAATGGTCAGTTTATGGAAAGGCAGCTTATAACTGGAGCACATGTATATATCATGATACAATTGTTTGCTTCACCTAAAGAATTAGACTCTTGATCTGCTACCTTAATTTTTGGGAAGCTAATCCAGTTCCCTTTACTGGAAGAGGTTGTTTTTTTTTTTTAAATCTCATTTTAAAGTGTGGTAAGAACTGGCAGTGCATGTTCTACATGATTTTCTCTTCGTAATACAGCTCAGATTTTCCTCCCTTTCTAATATTGTGCAGATATTTAATATCTAGGTAGTCTGCCCATTTGGTTGGACTTTAATACACAGATCAATTTTTGACATACTTTCCCCCAACAAGGTCTTCTTTCTATTAGATACCATGTAATATGTTAATCACAGGTTAAAGGAGAATAACTGAATTTAGCTGGTAAAAATATCTGGCAGATAGTATTTTAAGAAATGACTGGCTAATAAGCAGAGAAGAGAATGTGAGGGGCTAGTGGTCCCTACCTTCAAGGAGCCTTATAAACTAGTGTGTGAGCCCAGGCTTACTCTAGACCTGTACAAGTCAGTATAGTGGCCACTAGCTGCGTGTGGCCATTGAGCACTTGAAAGGTGGCCAGTCAGAATTGGAATCTGTTACAGATGTAAAGTAGATGCTGGATCAAAGGGTTTGTGCTCGACTACTAACCTAAGGGTTGGTGGTTCAAACCTACCGTGCTGCAGAAGAAAGGTCTGACAATCTACTTCTATAAAGATCACAGCCAAGAAAACTGGAGCAGTTTTACTCTGTAACACAACGGGTCACCATAAGTCAGGATCGACTTGATGGCAATGGGTTTGGTTCTTTTTGTTGTTAGTGTTATAATTGCAAAATATATGCTGGGTTTTGAAGATTTTGTATGGAGAACAGTGTAACATCTCAATTTTTTATGTTACATGTTGACACGATATTTTAGATAATACTGAGTTAAATAAAATACCTTATTAAAGTCAACTGCTTTCTTTTTATATTTTTTAATGAGGCCAGTAGAAAATTTAAAATTACTTATGTGGCTCACATTATATTTCTTTTGCACATCAGTGATTCTGGATAGTGGTTGAGCCCAGGTAATTGAATCTTGTTTAGAGTATTTGGGATATTTGTTTTATATGTAGGTATTTTGGGAGTGGGACAAATATTAACCTCTTTAAACAAGCCAACTAGTCTTAGAATATCAGAAATAGGCTAGATTTAGTGAAACACTGATAAGTGATGACTAAGTTCGATTTTTAATCCTTGTGATCATAATGCAGGGAGAAAGTAAGCAAAAGTTAGATTTGCCATCATGTGGAAGTGAAGTCACTCTCTAAGATAATACCACATATTGTCATCTTGCTCCATCTGTAATGCACGGTGCCAAGTAGCTTATCCATAAATAGGGCAAATCTTTAGCATTTGGAAATGCCAGCAAGTTTCACCAAAGCACTACGTAAAGGAGAGAGCACAAGAGAATATGACTCAAGAAATAGCTGGTTCTCTTTTTGATTCACCCAGAATACACATTTAATGATTCCAAGGAAAGTACACCAGTCTTGCTTGCCTTTGGGTCCTGTGGCAGTTCAGTTTAAACATTGATTCTTGTGCATTTTTGATCCATTTCTGTTTGGTTTTTACCTGTTGGTTCCACGCACATCTTTCTTATATCAGATGATCTACTAAATGTTGAAACTCATTGATTTTTTTGCATTAGATTAATATTTGATACATTAGTCTCTAATCTTTCTTTTCTGTTTTCCTATAGGATTTACTTCATTTGGTTCACTGGGTCACGGGGGCCTTACTTCATTCTCTTCCACATCATTTGGTGGTAGTGGGCTGGGCAACTTCAAATCTATATCAACTTCTACTAAGATGGTTAATGGCAGAAAAATCACCACAAAGAGGTACAGTGGTATTGTCTATTTTTAATATTTTAAAATAAGTATTCATTGATGCCACATTTACTTTGCGTATCCCCCAGAGTGTGCAATATAGGTTGTACAATAAATCTGGCATCATGAGAGTCTTTTCTGTAATGTCTGAGTTAGGTAGCCAGACCTTTTCCTTTTTAACGTTTGCTTAATATTATTCATTAGAAGTAATCTTTATTTAGGTTCATGTATAGTGTGTAATAAGTTTTCCTGGCATTACTAGAATGGTAAATACAACTCTTTAAAACATTTCCTATTGTTGATTTAGCAGTATCTCTGCATGTATTGTCTTCAGCTGTGTAGTATTTGAGGCAAAACTTCTTTTCTGATGGTATAAATCTATTTTAGGAAAGAGAGATTCATGGTCCACAGGTTGGCTTGTTGTGTTTTTCAGCTTGAAAATTAGTTATTTCATGTATGTGTGTGTCCTTTTAAATTATCAGATATATCACATGTATATTTACTTAAAAAAAGGTTTTTAAATGAATTTTATCCCACAGAATTGTTGAGAATGGTCAAGAAAGAGTAGAAGTTGAAGAAGATGGCCAGTTAAAGTCCTTAACAATAAATGGTAAGGAGCAGCTGCTACGCTTGGATAACAAGTAATTCAACGCACGCATTTAACAGAAATGTTAAACTGTTACAAGCACCATTTGAGGATTAACAGGAACATTTTTTGAAGATTTCAAACGAACTCTACTTTCAGTATAACTGTACCTAATCTAAAGTATTTATAAACGGCTCATCGGAGCACCTATTTGTCATAGACTTTTGAGTTTATTGTTGGGACCACATTAATAGGACCATTTTTTTTTTTCTTTAAAATTGTTGTAAATTTATGTATGCACTTTGCTTTTTTATTAAACTTAATCCAAGGTGAACCGTGATTCTTTAGTAGAGCTAGGAGAAAATTGTACACTAACACCAGCATGGATCTTGCTTTTTCCATTTTGTTTGAAATGTGAGCCGAGTAGTTTCCGTCTGCTGTGAAATTAACATTGCCAGGATGAATCTTCTACAAAAATACTTTCATTTTTTTTTCCCCCAGTATTGAGTAGTGAAAGATATTAATACATTAATGGTAGTACATTTCTGGTTTAATATAAATTAAGGATGTTTTCTAGTTGTGCATGAATGCTGGCAACTTGGCAAGTTTTGAAAATTGTTTAAATATGTAATGTTAAGCTTAGGTTTAAAAGTAAAGCTGGTAAACTGGGTCTTTGTCATTTGCTTTAAAAAAAAAAAAAAGAAAATAAATGCTAATGTGTTTGGTGCATTCTTTTGTGAATGGGATTTGTGGCCTTCTTGTGTCTGTGTATGATTTTTGTGCCTGAGGTTCCAGTGTCACTTTATTAGCGTTTCATCTGTTCATCATAAGTGAATGCAGAACTTAGTTTACACGTAGACATCTAATTCATTGTGTTTTGAGAGTGTTTGAAAATTTTCCTATTGATATTAAGGAGTGACTTAGCAATTTATTAAACATTTAATTATGGTAACGTTTTTAAGGGGGTGGGGGAAGAAACAGCTTCTTAAAAGTATGTCCTAGTTCTTTAGGATATATGACTTGGTGTAAGTTCATTTAAGGAGAATATATATGGTAAAGTCATGGAATGATTTAGATATGGGCCAAAATAAAGGTATGTCTTTTGTTTTTTAATCTGTAATATCTGTCGTGATCACCACTGATAATTAGAATTCCAGCTGTAAAGAATATTAAACTAGACTTCGATTACATTTAAACTATACCAATCGGTTTTATTGTTTTGGAAATAAGCAGTCTGAAAAGGTGCTAGAAGGATGGGAGATTCCTTTGGTTATGCTTGACAAACAGATGTCTGTCAACTAAGATTAATGTGAAAGGATACGGAAATTGCCGGTCACAGCATAGTGTCTTTAAAGATCATCATGTATTATTAAGATGTTTTAGAAACTGAAAATAAGAAGAAAGTATTTTAAGAAATCTCACAGGGGCTTTAGAAAAGTAGCAGAAGTTAATATTTGAAGACAGTTAACCTAAAGGAAACACCAGTGAATGATACCTTAAATATGGTGTGCTTAGGAGTGACTTGCCTCAGCGCTCCATGTCTTTAAGTAAGGTAGATATTTAGCCATGTGACACGTTGGGAAACAGTTAAAAAAATTTTTTGTGTGTGTAGTGTTGTAAAATCTAGTTTCCCACGTAGAATTTTAGTACCTGCTTTTGTTGATGATATCAGGGTAGCTTACTTCTTTCATACAAAATGAGAAATTCAGGTAGATACCCTAGTTAACAATTAATTCAAGTAGATACCTAATATACCAAATAATCCTGAAGTTTTGGGACTTAGAGTTCTATATTTTTCATTGATGGGTATAATGAACCACTGTTAGTAGAGCAATCTTGAGATACCACCAAGGAAGGAGACTAGGTAAATGAAAAGTGTTTTAAAGGAGAAGAAGGCTGATCTATCTTACGATTGTTAAAATATACCAAGAAGCATTTTGCTGTAATTTTGGTTTTTTTCAGTGTTTTTTCACGTACTGTGATGTTCCAGATGTTGAAATGTTTAATATAACTTTAGCTATAAACAGTGTACTCAACTTAATGTTGCTGGTAAAAGATGTTTGACTCTAAGGAATCTTTTGGTGAGCATTTTTTTGAGGGGAGCATCGCAGTCAAATATTCATAGTTTACATTTGACAACATTACCTTTTCTTTATTCTGCTCTTTTATTGATAGGAGAGTTAATTTTATTACATTATTAATAGGGTAGAAGAAGTATTTATTAGACTTCGTGTTATTATTAAACTTATTAATATTCTGTTAGCTGAATAGGAAACTCAATTTCTGGTTTGTATGATGCTTTGCTCTGTTGTACATATGGTCGCTATGAGTCGGAACCGACTCAACGGCACCTAACAACAACAACAACATGATGTTAAAGAACCCTGGTTGTGTGTGCAGTATTTAAAGTGCTCGGCCGATAACTGGAAGGGCAGCAGTTGGAACCCACCAGTTGCTCCACAGGAAGGAAGATGTGGCAGTCTGCTTCTGTACAGCTTTGGAAACCCTGTGGAGCAGTTCTACTCTGTCTGTAGGGTTCCTGTAAGTTGGAATCAACTCAATGACAATAGGTTTTGGGTTTGATGATGTTAGAAAATGGCTGAATTATTATTATTTTTGGTCAGGGGATGGGGTGGGTTGTGATGGGGCACGGGAGGAAAGGCAGTGTTGCATGCACCATTCCTGAGATTAAAAAATTCATACTTCTGGTTAATGTCTCTTGTTCTTGCCTGCATTTTTTTTTTTATCACCATGCAACATAAAGAAATAAATACGTAAAAAATATTTGAATGGATGTGACTTTTGAATTATAATCTGAATATTTATAGTATCTATCATGAGAAACAATTTATCAGTGATACCAGGCTCAAAATATAGATGGAATTCTTCTCTGGGGATTTGATACTCTTACTGTTGTCAAATCTTGTTTCTCTGATTTTTGGGGGAAAAAAAAGAATTGAGTCCAGAGGGCTCTAAAAAGAGTTATGAAATTGTTTTGAGCATTGTTACTATCATGGAAATAAATGATTTGGAAGAACTGCATTTAATTTACATGAAAAGTTCTGGTAAATTTGTCCCTTTGTGTTTTTAAAAATCATATTGCCATCATGAATGCCTTTGACAGTAGCTAACTCTGAATGCTCAGCCCACAAGTGCTTGTATCCAAGTAGGCACAGTGTTGCACATGTCTACCCAAGGATGAGACCCCATCCTCATTGTTAGGCACTGTCTGTTACATTTGCTTTGTGTTAGCTCCTTTTGGAGGGAGGAGGGTGAACTCTTATTGTTCTTTAAAATTGGGAAGTATTCTGTTTTAATTCCCGAAAGCAAAGTTTTGAGGGGACATCACATCAGTCTGCTGTGTGTGTGTCATCTCCACCTTGTTTACCTCTGTCCTGTAGTTTCTCTCCAGTTGGCTTGATTCAGTTCAGTGATGGATTTTCCCCATATTCCCATCTTTTTACAAAATAAAAGCCTAAAATTCCAAGGAGTCCAGGTTTGATTTTAGAAACTTAGCAACTGTTTCTTCATATCACAAAAGATGTCATATGTGGCATTAATGGTGATTCATGTTTCTTCTTTGAAGTTCTTCTAAGGCATAGATTTTTAGAAGTGTATAGAGTTATCTTTAGAATTTACTGAAGTTATTCTTACATATTGGATTTTCAAAACCTGTGTACATAGTTTACTGAAGTAGTGTGGTAAAATTTTAGGAATACCTTTTGTGGGATGATTGATCTTCAAACGTTGATTGAATAAAGGATCTTTTCAGTTCATTTTTGGTTTAATATCTACTAAAGCTTTAAAATTCCTGCTTATTCTGTCTTGATTATCTACTAGCTTCTGACCCTATCATCACTTCTGACCCCATCATCACTCTTTTCCAGGAATGCCAATCTTTTTTTTTTTTCCCCTTAAGCAATATGTAATTAATTAGAAATATTTTTATTTTCAGAATATCCAGGAGAGGAAGTAAATAACGGTATAAGAAATGAGATAGGTGATATCACGACAGACACAACTGAAATGAAAAGAATCATAACAGAATACTGTGAAAAATTGTACTTTAACAAATTTTAAAGCTTAGAGGAAATGGACAAATTTCTAGAAACTCATTACCTACCTAAACTAATAGAAGATCCAACAGTTATTTACAACTACTTGTTATATTATCTGCTGTTGCTTCTCAGTGATGACCAGACTTAATCATTAGCACGTTTAATAACAGAATGGAAGTAGATACTATAATTTCTGAAGGTTTTCAAAATTGTTGGGTGAATTTTTTTTTTTTTTAATTTTTTTGTTAGGTGAATTTAAATATTTGATACACTGTGTTCTTAATAACCCAAATGTATGTCTACACTGGTTGGTTTAATGATGGAATTCCTCTAATAAATAATATTGTACATTTACTTAAACTCTTAAATTCTCCCTCCATCATGATTTCCTGAGCCTTATCTTGTTTTGGAAACTTTTCAAGAATAATTCACTTTTTAAAGCAAGGCGTTTATCACTAGGTTGAATATGGGCATATGGGCAACTTTTAATTCTTATTTCAGCACTTCCAAATGTTCTTTCTAGCAAATCTAGTAACTTGGAATAATGAAATATAGATCTGGGTACTAAAGTGTGACAAACAGTTGAAATATGATATGCCAAAGATTTTCTTTTGTGGCAAATCAGCTGTTTCATCTTACTATTTGAAAAGAATCAAAGGGAGGGAAAGTTACAGACTTTGTAATGTATCTGGGCTTATATTGAAAATTCAGAACTCACTGTGACGACTAATTTCCAGAGACTTTAAAACTAGCTATAGTGTTTGAGTCATATCAGAGGGAAGTATAATTTGACACAAAGGGTGGTCTGTCGCTGTTAATTTGCTTTTGTAAATATTTGCTTCCTTGTGCAGTATGTCAGTTCATTAGTCAAAACTATTTATTAAAAGTTAACTGTATAACTCTGGGTGAGTTATGTACTTAGTGGAGAACCCTGACTAGACCTTTTCCCGTTTCAAACCTCCTACC